GTTTCCCGCGATACGGCCACGTCCTACGGTTCTTAAGATGAAATACTGTTATCAGGAGCCGTGTTCAACGGCGATGATCCGCGGTCGCCAAATCCTGCCTTCGACGTAATTGTCGCCGCCGCCGCCGATGACGAATATATCTCGCGAGTGAACGATTCCATCGCGCGGCGTTTTTCACTTTCGCAATATAAGAGGACGAGATCGAGCATAATAACGTCGCGATAGCTCCACCAAGGGAAGGGGGAGCCAAGGTTCCAGGTTTTCGCTCCTTTCATTTCTCACAATTTGCATTTTTCATACCGTTGGACGAGAAGGAAACGCGCGTCGCAACCTTTTGTTGCCGCGAAATTCAGGGAAATAACGTCTCGCCGTGTTATTAATTTACTATCGTCTAGTTTCTCAAGGCACGCGAGGCTAAGACGCGTTTACGAGGAACTATCGATCAGTTGCTCGATTCGAGAACGGGCAAATTTTTCTCCGATAAGCAAATTCGAACGTTTAGCTCGACTTTAGTATATCTGTTTCACAACTATTTTTTTCAGTTGCACTTGGCAAATTGAACGGATCTTAATTAGCCTCCAACCAGTTCCTGAATGAGAATGACAGAAACTTGCTCTTCGAACTAGCTCAAACCTTCCACTTTATCCAGTATACAAACGAAAGGAATTCGAGCCTCCTTTTAATTTCAATTTTGTTCCACCGAGCAACGAAGGAGAACTTTCTCCTCACTCTCGAAGGAGAGACGCTGACCGGCCGTCTATTTTCGCTCGTACAGACGACGGCGATGCTGAACGTTTAAACGAGCCCGCGGTGACAAACGCCACGAGCAGATATACCGAGACAGAACGGTGGCTCGCGGTACGATTCGAACGGATGCTTGTACGATTAACCACGGGCCGCAGATTGGGATAGATCCGAGAAGCCTAATGGAGTCGTCGTACGCGGTGTCGGGAGAGTGAAACGATATAAAAGAAAAAAAAAAAAAAAAAAGAAGAAAAGAAAAGATCTCGACATCGTCTCGTGTCAGACAAATATCGTCGTTCCCACGACGACCCGTGAAGGGAGTACCATCTGTTTTGCTTCGGATCGTTCGCGTTTGCACCGTTGTTTCGTTTTACAAGCGTAAACCAACGAGTTACGCGCGTACCATCGGCATGGTACACGTGTCATCGTCATTAGCTTTTATGCGCTGTTTGTTATACGGATAGCAACATTCGGGGAACAGAGTAACAAACTTAGTGCGCTAGTCTACTCGTACATCTGTGCTTTTATCCTTAAAAATACCCTCACGAGTCCTCCTGTTATTGAACATACCTCTAACACCATCGTCGCAGATGATGCTATTTCTCACTCGCTGGTCGATCAATAAAGAAACAAACGGCTAAAGGAATATCCCTCGAGAACTGGCGACGAAGCGAGAACCATAAAAACCAGAACTGGTGTTCTTTTTAATCCGCAGAATGGAACCACCGGCCCATCTGATTATCCAAAAAAAAGAAAGAAAGGAAAGAACGAAAAGGAGAAAAGGGAACAAAACGGCCCAGGAAACACAATGAACATCTCATCACGGAGGACAAAACCCGTCGCATAAATCGTCGGCAAGCGTAATTGAATTTCTTCTTAGCAGGGCCGGAGGACGCGGTCCATCCCCACCCTGAATAGGATCCCATTTTGAAGGATCTCCGCGTAGCTACGGCACTGCACACCTTGCCCGCCTGCGACGTGCCATCCTCGTCCCTCGTGGCCGATGGCTAGCGAACATTTTAACCCGGTGCGCCGGGCCTTTGCCGGGGATATCATCTGGAAGGTGAGACGCAGCAGAGAAGCGCACCCGGTACGGTGGACTAATTGGCCGATAAATCAACCTCCAGCTTTACCTCCACTGTGGCCGCGCTGGACCCTCTAGACTCATAGGTGGACTTTCCGGACGTAAGGTATACACGCGCCCCGAGTCTAATTTTGAACGGCGGCACACCGAGAGAGAGAGAGAGAGAGA